CTTGGCAGTTTTTTATAAAGTCACACATACAGGAGCTGGGGGTGGAGGACAGGTTGTCTCCAAAGGGGAAAAAGGAAGCTTCGGAAGCTGTGGAATAGTTCTGTATCTTGATTGTGGCAGTGGTTACGTGATCATAAGCATTTGTCAAAATGCACAGAACAGTACACCAAAAAGAGAGAAATAGTTACAGTGTTAATTTAAAAAAAGGGGGTGGGGGGCGGGAGTAAAAGCAAAGGCAGCGATGCCACTGTGAGACTTCAGGCAAATTACTTAACTTCTCTGTGCCTTCGGTTTCATAAATAGCTCCCTTTCACTTGGCAACAGCTAATCAAGTAATTTCTGGAGGCCTGAAGTGACTTGCTGAATTCATGACAGCCCCTCTGCAGATTAAAATGTTCAAATCCTTTTTCTGTGTTGTAATCCTACACCTCAAAGAAGGGAAAGACCAAGCAGATCTCCAATATCATTGAAGTGACACCTTCCAGTATTTACTTGAAGGGTCTGCTCTCATCTTCCGTGAAGATATTGGTTGGAAAATGAAGGGTTATTATCAGAGCTCTGATTGGTCATTACAGATTTGGAGAATTTTCATCAAAGAAACCTCACGAAATATGACATGTAGGGATTAGTATCCTACTGGGTGACTTTCTTGCAAAAGTGGGAATTTTAAGAGACTTCAGAAGAATTAATATGCTCCACATGACAATTTATTTTAGCTTCTGGCTTTTCTTTCCAGGAGGCAAATCAGTGCAACTTCTGCCTTCGTTTTAGGTAGGTAACAACTGTCAGTTTTCAGACAGGCTTCACCTAGCTGTCCTCTCAGAGACAAAGAGGTGGCCGCCTCCTCCCCAGGTGGGGAGATGGAAGGAAGCAGGGTTTTTGATAACAGTTAGTCAAAACCAAGTCAACAGCTAACCAAGTGCAAGAATAGCAAGTTGCATTGATTGAACTGCCTCAGCAGTTGGAAGCTCGGGAGGGTGGACGATCGTAGACTAATTGGTTCGCTCTGCACCCTGAAAACACAGGGCAGTGAGGACCAGTGCAATCACTGACAACAGAGGCTCAGCACCTTGCACTTCAACACCCAGTTTGCCTCTTCCAAACAAAGCTGAGGCGTCTTCCCATTTTATCTTAATTTATCTTGATCTATCTATTCATCCATCCAACCACCCATCCATCCAATTTCTAATCAATAAGGGCTTTTCAAAACACAACCACAATACCATTAACATAGCCAACAAAATCAATAATAGTTATGTAATAGCATCTAAAACTCAGTCCATGTTCAATTTTCCTTGGTTATCTCAAAAACTTTTTCTTATAAAGTTTTGTTCAAATCACAAACAATATCCATACATTGCATTTGTTAGTATGTCTCCTAAATCTTTTAATCTAGAACAGTCCAAGGAATTTTTATGTCTTCATTTATCCTTTCAATTATTTTTTAAAAGCATTTATGTATTCATTAACTAGATAATGTTTGTGGGGTAGTAAAAAATATTTTTCCGACCACACTAAAAGGTACATAATGAGGTATCCCTGTCTCCCTCCCCTGGAAGTGATGTTATCGGTTTCATGTGTAATCTTCTAGAAATGGTGTCTGCCTAGAAGAGCATGCCCACCCCCGAGGCTGCTTGGTGGATAAGAATGAAGACCTGAGTTCAAATCTCTGCCACTTACTAAATACAAATTTTGGGCACGTTACATCACCTCTGAGCCCGCTTTTTCCTCTGGTAAATAGATCTAATAATAGTACCTATCTCATGGAATTGTTGAGAGAACTGAATCAGATAAGTAAAGTATTTAAAAACTACTTGTTACTACATACATTCTCCATTGGCTTTTTCCCAAATGACAGAATGATGCACTTTTTTCTTTGTTTGTTGTGTGTTTTTTCATCTAACATCACATTTTAATAATTCCATACCTGTTCTTAAAGAGTCGCTTCGTTGTTTGAAATCATTGTCTTGAGTAGATGCCAGACTGATAGACATGGGAGTTATTTCCTACCTTTTTTTTTTTGCCAAAAAAAAATGCTGCCATGAATATCCTAGTAATATTTCGTTGGATTCATGTGCACAAATATCCACAGGATAAACTTCTGGAAGTAAAATTGCTGAGCTAAAGGATATGTGCTTTTTAATACTTTCTAGGCAGTGCCCAACTTCTCCAAAGGAAGCTACACCAATTCACACTCCCAAGAAAAGTCCACAAGGGTCCCCACTTCCCAACACCTTAGCTAACGCAGGGTATCTTTACATGTTTTGATCTTTGTAAATATGATCTGTGGAAAATACTATCTCATAGATTTCATGTGCATTTCTCTTATTATGAGAAGATAAAGGAAATATAGTGCGAGTTAAACCTCAGTAGTCAAATGATCTGCACATGTCATGGTGGGGTACAAATGACCTTGTCTGTATTTGTGAAGAGGATGCTCCCTATCCGCCTGTACTAAGCATGTTTTATGTACGTACGTACATAGTTAGTTATATCTAGCAGTGGTGAAGGGTTTGTTCTGAGCCCTTGTTCGGTGCAACTCCCTCACCTGGTTGCTTTCTGACACACGGCCAGGAGTACAGTGTTGTGGCCCTGGACATGGATTTGCTCCCAATTCACAAGCTCTCTTTCTCTTCTCCCTTCTCACCTCTTGCTACAGCTTTTCCATAGGTGATAGCCATTCCCTTGGCTTTAAATACAAGGATCAGACTAGAGTGAGGCCACTGAGGGACCTAGGACATAAAATTTAAAGAGACATTCACTCTAGGGCCCCACAGCGTGACTGTCTTCTTAAATTTCCCTGTCTGCCGTAGGCGCCTTACTTTCCTGACCCTAGTTTCACCTCCTTAGATACCTCCGCCTTCTCCCTGGACGTCCAGACACATAAGTCCTACGTGTCATCTCCACCTGGATATCGTACACAGCTCAAACTTCAAATATCTAAAACACAGCTCCTGCATCACTTCCCACTCCCATGCCCAACCTACTCCTCCCACTCATCTATCTCACTTAACAGCATCACCATTTACTCAGTTACTCTAGGAGTTATCCGTGATTTCTTTCAACAAGCTCTATCTTCCATCTCCAAAATATGTTCCAAATCTGACAACCTCTCACCACCTCTACTGCTACCACCTTAGACCACATCCCCATCTCTTACCTCTGTAAATTTCCCCTGACCGCCCCACCAGGTATCCCAGCTTCCCTCCTCTCTCTACCCCTTTGTACTCATTAGTCAGTGGCCAGAGTGATCTTTTTATATCATGAAGGAGATCGTGTCACTCTCCTACTTAAAACCCTCCAGTAGCTTCCAAATGAATTTAGAATAAAAGCAGACCCCTTACTGTGGTCGACAGATCAGGATCCAGCAGGTGCGACAATCTGACCCCAACCCAGCAACCCGACTTCCACCTCCGCCTTGCCACCAGGAAGGTGGCAACCACCAACTGCCGCCTGCATGGGCTCACTCCTGCCCAGGCTGTGTTCCTTTTCCCTGGACTGCTCTTCCCCAGATCTTTATACAGCCACTTCCTGCTCAACATTCAGGTGTCACCTTCCTGACCACTTCTGTCCACTCACCCAATCACTCAAAGTCCCACTTCCCTGTTTTATTTCTCCATAGCATTATCACTACCTTAAAATGTCTTATCACTGTGCAACAGCCCCTCAAAGCTCAGGGGCTTAAAACAAAAACTCGTTAGTTCAGCTGGACGGTTCTCAATTGGGTCTCTCCTACTGTTACGGCTGAATGGCAGCTGGGGTTGGAGTCACCTGGAGGCTCTTCTGGGCCAGACTTCTAAGATTCTTCCCTCCCACGTCTGGTGCCCCGGTGCTCCTGCTGGTGGCCTCCTTCTCCAGCAGACAACTGGACTTCCTCCCCGGCAGCTCAAGCCTCCAAGAGAGAAGAAGTGGAAATGGCTGCGCCTTTTATAGCCTAAAATGGGTACGATGTACTTCTACTGCCATATTCACTGGTCAGAGCAGTCATAGGCCAGCCCAGGTTCCAGGAAATTGAGGAATAAATCCTACCTCTTAAAGGGGAAGTGACATGTATGTAAAAGGAGGCAAGAAATTGACCATGGCCACCTTTGCCTGTAAAACACCACATTCATCTGTTCACTTGTTATTTTTCTGTCAACTCCTGTTAGGTTCTAAGCTCCACAAGACAATAGGCACCTTGTCTATCTTACTTTATGGTTCTTTTCTAGCACCAAGAACAATGTCTGGCACACAGTGGGTGCTCAATAAAGTTTGGCAAACTAAAGTGGACTGAAGTAAATTTCTCCAGATTGGTTTGGCCAGGTTTGCTGATGCTAAGCATGCTGATGCCTCACCAGATAAGAGAAATACCACATTTCTAAAATATTTCATTTCCTCTGCAAGCAAGAAAAACTTGCCCTGAACACAAAATTTAGAGATAGATTTGGCATGTTTTCTAAACGGAAAATATTTCTTGTATCACCAGAAATTATTTTCCCACAGCTTGTGCTACATCAAAATATTGAAGTTGACTGAAAATACCCCATTCTTTAATCTTGGTGTGGACTAGAAACTTTTTTTTTTTTGTCACAAAGGAAATACAAAAACCTCCTGTTATTTGAACTCCTCCAGACAGCCCCAAACTGAAAATGTCATTACAAGTTAAAATAGATTAAAAAAAAATAGACTACTCAGAAATGTCATTAAAAGTTTGGTGATCAAAATGTAGAGTTCTGGGTTTTAAGGACAGTACTTGTTTATTTAAGTAATTACATATGACCGAGGGCAAAAAGAAAAATTCCTTCAAATCTCCCCCTTTGCTAGTTTTTACTGGTGAGTTTTATAAAATAATCTCATGTTTAAACCTTTTTGTAAATCCTTTGTAAATGAGTAAGTGAGAATGTATTCATCAGAAGGATTTTAGTGGCTTTTGAAGTTAGAATAAAAGGGATTTAATTTTTTAAATTACACTTGCGGATGACCGCTGATGAAATTTCTTCTAATCTTTGTTTTATCTCCAGTTTTCCCAGATTTGCTCAAAGCGATCCCAGTGAGCATCCACGTCAACGTAGTTCTCTTCTCCGTGATCCTTATCGTTTCAACCCTGGTGGGGACAGCCTTCTTCATGTACAATGCTTTCGGCAAGCCCTTTGAAACGCTACATGGTCCACTGGGGTTGTATCTTTTGAGCTTCATTTCAGGTGAGTATAAAATTCTACCTCTGAAGCCAAATAGGTTTTTCAATGGGTAAAAGATTATCAGCCTACCCAAATGTAAAGCGAAAATACATGTACATGGATGGTCACTGTGGCATTATTTACAAGAGCAAAAAGTGGAGAGAAATATAATTATCCAACAATAGGGAATTCAGTAAATGTATTAGGGTAGTTTATTCGAATGAACACAATGCTGGCATTAAATTAATATTTTGGAAGATGTAATCAAAAGGATACACGCTTGTATCAAAAAGGTAAGTGAAAAAAGCAGTATATAAGATTTTATAAACATGAATCCAATTTGATTTTATATATAAATATATATTCTATACTCTCCATATATATAGAGAGAGAGCCTCCATATATACAAAAATACATATATATATGCAGAGAGAGAAAGAGTCTATTTTGTTGGTAATAGTTATTTCTGAGAAGGAAAATTATGGGTGATTTTCATTTTTTCTCAAACTTTTTAATATTTCCAAATGTTCCATAATATGCATCTATTTATTCATAATCCAAAAAATGAATAAAAGCCATCAAACAAGAGTAAAGGGCCAGTGTCCCACCCACACATGAGTTGCCATATTCGAGCTTGCAGAGATTTTGTGTAACCTAACGGTAGGTGTATCTGGACAAGGAAAACTCTAAGCGCATCAATAAACACATCCTACTCACTAACCAGGGCTGATGGAAAAGCATTTAAAATCCAGTCAGTGCCACAGGGTGCTTGGCACATATTTACAAGGAGGAGAAAGAGAAAGATGAGAAAATCAAAAGCGTCTACACAACTCACACGTAGCCACTCTTCGACAGGAGGTCATTGATTTCACCCCACTCCACAATGTGCAGAAAGACTCAATGCTTTTGTCCTATTCCTGGGAAGCAAGTAATTTTATTAATGATTTCATGGAGAGAGGAGAGAGAATACAACTCACACCAGCCCACAGTGGATTGCAAATCCATATTAGACTCTTTCCTTTCACTCGGCAGCTGCCCTTTGGCTGCCAGGCCCCAGGCCCCTCATCTCTCTTTGCACCCCTCCCTTCCCCCTGCACAATTCAACTCTAGCCACAAACTTGCATAGCTCCCTCTCTACAAAACAAAGCCCCTTTGCAGTTAATGGGCGCTCACTAGTCTTAGAAGGCAGTGTACTGGCCTCCATCCATTATCACTAGAGCACACTTCTTGGGGTCTCACCCCATCTACATCTTGCTAATCAGATTATTTCCCCAACTAAAGCAGTTCTCCCTCTAGTGCGGGTTCTGCTGATTTTCTCTGTATCTCTCACAAGCAAATAATAGTTTTCAATGGTGCAAAAATGATGACCGCCGGGGGTCAGAGTCTAAGTCTTTCTCATCTTTCTATCTCTAGCAAAATCATCCAGCATGAGGCTCTGCACACAGTACACAGTGCAATATGTGTTCGCTGACTTGAAAACTCAGGGCCAGAAGGAGATGTTGACTTGCTCGCTTATATAACATAGTTTAGAAAATCAAAACTCGGATGGGATGGAACTAGCAGGGTAGGCCCACAGAGACGGCAGCACTCAGCCAGAGAGAGATGGAATAGAGTAAGATAAAGGAAGGCCAGGGGCTTTGCAATCAGGGCAGAGGAGCAAGAGCACAGACACAGGATGCCGACAGACTGACCAGGATGGTGATTCAGTTTCACGGGAAGGTCAGGTTCGAAGTGGGTACGGGGATTACTTCACCCCCACCCAGCAGACCAAACCAACCTGGCGGCCCTGGTGGTGTGCTGTTTTCCTGAAGACCCCTGAATCAACCAGGGACCAGCCAGACCACAGAATCCATGCTGCCTTAACAGAGGGAATACAATGTCCACCAGCAGTCCTTCTACTGGAGTCCCCAGACCAGCAGCATCTGCATCACCTGGGATCTTGATAGATGAGCAAATTCTCAGGCCTCCCTCCAGACTTTCCGAACCAGAAATTCCAGAGTAGGGCCCTCCAATCTAGGGTTTACCAAGCCCTCCAGGTGATTCCAATATAAGCTCAGGTTTGAGAACCCCCTGCTATAGAGGGTTGATTAAACAGACATTGGAGACAAAAAGGAGACCCTGGGGCAACTCAGATTTGGCAATGTGAGAAAGCAGCCGCCATCCTTAGGGCTGAGAGAAGGCGGCACTGTACCCTGAGGAGATGGCGCTGTCACGTGACACCATGAGGCAGTTCTGGGAGTGTGGAAAGGGCTCAGGAACCCCCCAGCTGCTGCTGCCGGGAATGGTGGTACCCTGAGGCAAAGCCAGTCAAACCCTCATCCCCTGCCCAAGGGTCCTCGTTCACCAGGTGCACTCCACTGGCAGAGTCTCGCAGGAAGCAGCTGACCAGGCAGAGCCAGGGTGTGGGGAGCCTGGACCCAGCATCGCCAAGTAGGGAAAAGAAGAGCCGGCATGACGCTGAGACACAACAGCTTATTAACCGGCACGGCCATCTCACACTCCGGCTCCTGCAGGAAACTGAGAACAGCCCATTTGGCAGACAAATGATTTGACAGTTCTAACGGATGACCCAACTAGCACTATTTGAAAAGGGAGATGACTCAGAGGATACAGAATTTAATCCAAGTCCCAGATCTTATCTCAGCCTTTGGCCAAGGCTAAGGCAAAGAAAACCTGAGCACAGAAATAGATGCGGGAACACACAGGCTCTGTGCTTACACTGTCGCTCTTTTATCTTTGAACTTGTTGCAGAAGCAGGTGCTCAGTGAAGGTTTGTGGATAAGGGAAGGAAAGAAGGAACCAGTTCTAGATCTGTGTCCTGCAGAGGATAAAGGCCTGGTGTTTCCAGATCATCTGTTTTTTTTTTTTAAGCCCTAAATTCTTATTTTTAAATACCAAAATTTCAACAATTTTTTTAAAACTGTGCATGACAAAACATCTTTGCGGGTCAGAAGGACTGACTGTGACCTCCAGGGGTAATAGGTCACTCCTAAATCACAGACTACCTCATCTCCCTTCAATCCACACACGGTGCCCAGAAGCCCCTGGAGGTTTGGAGATGTTTACCTAGAGTTGTGATATTCAAGGAGACCTCAGCTCTAAACCCCACTTTTGGGAGGGCGGGGGTTTCACAGCCCTTATCACAAACACTCTGAACATGAGCCAATGAATCACACACTCAGAGGCCTATATTAGGGGTTCCTTTAGTGTCCCCCTAAATCACATTAGAGACCACCCCCCACCAGAAGCTCTCTTCCACTGAGTTTCCTCCCCTATTTCTCTGCCCAGGTGGCCTCCCGCATAATCAGCAGAGAAAAACTCCTTCCTCCTATTTCTTCTCTGTACACTCACCTCTGGGTTCCCCAAGATGCCCCCTTTCCTTGCACTGATGTCATTCCAGGGCCATTTCTTCGGCTGTCTACCTCCCTGCTAGATGGGGACCCAGGCATGGCATCCTGGGACATGAAGATGGTGGGAAGGGAAGGGAAAAAAGCCTTCCTGCTTGTCCACCAGGGATCTTCCACGCTGCCCAGAGCAATAGCGCTGGGAGCATCTCCTTGTCTTTCCTAGTGTGCTGCAGGCCAGACCCCGGGGGGAGGAACGGAAAGGAAGCCACCCTCTGGATGAGGCCAGCAATGGTTTCGGTCATCACAGCCTCCTTGTCCTTACTGCCCAGTATCCAGTTGCCCTCCCTCCTGGACCAGAAGTTCCCTGCACTTCATACGGCCTCCACTTTGGTCCATATCCCTCCGCCTTCTTCATGTAACTTTTCTGCTCCATCATTGTTCCACGAAACCCACTCAAGCCCGTTAATTTGCTCTTTCTCCTCTTGCCAATTATAAACTACGTCTGAGAAGTCTTTCCCCCGAGTTCGGAGTTTAGTAACATCTTAATGGTCTCTCCTAGCTCATTTTGGACAGTGATTCTTTTCCCAGACTGTGCATTAGAATCACTGGAAGAAAGTTCTAAACATCCTGAGGCCAGGTCCCACCCCATACTAATTAAATTGGAGTCTCTGTGTGACCAGTGTTGAGAACCACTGATCTGGGTGCACGTGTTTCATTTATTCAACAAATCCTGACTGAGTGCCACCAGGTGCCAGCCATTATGAGAGGTACTGGTGATACCACAACCAAAACAGGACACTGTCCTGACTTTGTGGAGCCTACAGTCTAGTAAGAGAGTCTACAGAAGTGTACATAAGTGATTCGAGCTCACAATAATCTCAGTAAGTGTGATAAATAGGCTACTGTGATACAGAATGAAGGGGAGGGTAGATCAGGTCTCCATATGGTGGTCAGTGAAGGCTACGCCACGTAGCTGAGTTCTAAAGATACAAAGGAGCTGAGGACCCTCAGGGAACTTCCCAAGGAGAGAAGAAAACACACGTGGGGATGCTTGAGAAAGAAGCCAGCTTGCTGTAGGGACTGAAAGAAGGCCCGTGTAGCTGGAGGGTACACAGTCCTCACCCCATCCCATCCTGCAAAAATTAGAGTGATCAGTTGACGTCAGTTAATGCCAGACCTCAAAAGCCATGGTAAGTCTTTTAGAATTGACTCTAATTGCAATGAGAAGCTTTTGAAAGGCCTTAAGGACAGGTCTGATAACTGATTTATCTTTTAAGAAATATTTGGTGAAAGACTAGGCTATTGCACTGGAGATGAAGAGAGATGAATGGATGCTAAAAACATTTTGAAAGTGGATCCAAAACGTTTTGCAGGTACCTTAAGTACCTTAAGCAATGAGTAGACAGTGGTGGCATTAACCAGGATGAATAAGACAGGGGAGAAACAGGCTTAGAGTTCAGGGCGAAAAAGAGGTGGGGAGAGGAGCTTAGCATTAGAAATCAAGTGTTCTATTTAGGGCATGTCAAGTTTGAGATCCTATGAGATGTTCCAGAGAAGATGTCAAGTAGACACTCATATAGATGAGTCTGGAGCTCAGAGAAGAGGTCTAGACAAAAGACATAAATTTAGGAGTTGTCAGGATACAGATATTATTCAAAGCAATGAGAATGGATGAGA